CATCATTCTTAATCGCTATAATAACATTGTATCGACCAACGTAAAAGTTGAGACCTGGGAACAGCGAGGCAAGGAGGAATGACCAGCCACACCATCAAATAGATGTTAAAAAGCCAATAGTTTAGCCAGATTATCAAAACCACTTTATTGGAGGTAAAACCGAAATTGCAATCACCCAAAAGTCAATGATAACCCCTTCCCACATCTAACTCAAATATAAGAACCAATGAATGAAAGTTGAACCAAAAGGTTGGTCTGTAAATGGTGATGGATGTTCACTTCATTTAACCATTAGCCTTTGTTCTCCCTCCCAAGTAACTTTGACCAACCTGGGAGTTTGTTTGAAGGATAAGGCTAACATACTGTATTTTTCTCACTGTCAAAAAATCATATGAAAAGAAAAACCAACAGTCCGCTAGTCCGTCTCTCAAACTGTTTGTGACATTCATCCCAAAATCCATGTGTTCCTACTGAAGTCATAAATCTTTAAAACTGCATTAATCAATATTTGGATATGAACAGTGGATCAAATTACTTAAAGTGTAAAGTGAAACGGATTGCTCGTAATGATCAACCCACAGACAATTATCACTCAACTCAGCAGCTCCACTCAGCCCTGTTTTGGATACATATTTTTTTGTTTTTTTGGCCCACTCTCAACAACCTTGTTTCCAGGCCCTTGTTTTTGTTTTGTTTTGTTTTTGTGAAAAAAGCTCAGATAACCCCATTATATTCTCCCCACTGTCCAGTACCAAACAGCAGGCAAAGTTAGCAACTCGCTGATGAACACAGCGAAGCAGCTAGCAAGCTAAGGAGCAAGATATTTTTCTTGAGTTAATAGAGAACAAAACAGAACTAAAATGACAGTGAATATTTGGCTTACATTCATCAGGTCCAGATACATGACTCCAAATAAAATATAACGTCAGTATTGTTTACAGCTTGTTCTGCTGCCCCCAAGTGGCAAACAGAAGCAATTAATGCAGCTTTAAAAACAGGTATGTAGCAAATGTTAGTCAGATAGACGAGGAAAAAAGCATGTGTTAGTGACTATTTTCAGACAGATAAATAGAAATCGTGCTAAACTGAATTTGTATAGCACCTGTATGTGGAATCAACTCAAAATAAACTACAAGGCCCAAGCACATTCATGTGTTTTTAATAGTTTTGGAAAATAATGGAGTTCTGTGGCACAGAGGAAGATAGGATACAGTATATGAGGCTTTGGCTAAACAGGCAATACTTGTTAGCATCAGTTCATTGTTGATTTGGTTAATTTGGCATTACTTTTAAATCTGTCAAATCATTTACCTGCGTGTGTTGTGTTGGCCCCATCTGACTTCCTTTTAGCGACGTTGCAGCATTCCCAAATCTCAACAATTACCTGTATGATTACAATGTTATTATCATTGATAGAAGTGATGACCAAAACTAGAGGACGACCCAAGTTGCTATACACTGGAATGATCTTTTAGGCTATTGTAGGATGATTATGTCTTTTGAAAGTAAGGGAGTGATTCGATCTGCTTTGGCGCTTGGTGTGTACGTGGTTACAGAAGGATATAAGATCAGATGTCGATTTTCATCTCTTCATATGAAGTTGTTTGTCAGGACTTAGATCTGTCTGTACATTAACCACACCTGCGCTATTATTAGCCCAAAAGTCAGACCTCCATAACCTTCCAGTAGGTTTGCTGAAGCACAAACAGATCTGCAGCCACTGTACTTAAATGTGCCTACTTCAACAGAAACACTGACTGCTGTTTCTTCAAGGCACGTATGCTAATGTGTAAAAATACATATGCATCTCAGCCATGAAAAGGCCTTTTTATTCCAAAGGTTGTTATAAACATATTGTACAGGATATTTAGATAAGTCAGTATAGTTCCAATAATGAAACAATGCTTTTAGGGCTTATCTCGGACTCACGCCTGGTTATGTTTGTCACAACTGAATAGGATCCATGGCATTTTACCATTTACCCAAACAGAGTGACATTCACCTTGTGAGGCATGCTCAGCTACCCAGGAAATTAACAGAAGCCTGTTAAACACTAGGCTGCAAAGAATATTGAATGTTTCCTAAAAGTCAAGGTCCAGAGATTTGGTGTAAGAATGGTTGGTTTCCAGAAATATTGATTGATTTGAAGGATAGAACTTACTAAGGGGCTCCCAGCCCTGTGTAACTTAAAAAAGCTCCCCTTTGCTCCAGTCTTTACAAACAATACATACTTAAATATACATTTACAGCTTAAAAAGCATTTAGAAATCATGTTTATAGCTTTAATCCTGCTTAATTTAGGAGCTCAGTGATAGTGAAAATGTCCTTGACAGCTAGCAGTGGGCCAGCTGTGACGGAAAAGACGCATTGGGCTTTAAAACAGGCCAGTAATCAACATAAATATCAAGAATTGCTCAAATATTTTCCAGCCTGTGGCTCTCACAAATGATGCTTATAATGCAAATTGACTCCTGGTGTACACATCTGCATCAGACTTGGCACAGGCCTCAGTGAGATGATGCATCTCAGTCGCATTTCTCTGAAAGATTCCTATTATTTGGAAATGAAGATTTGATATGTACATTTTATTGTTTGCCCGATGCACTCGCATTTCTGGGATTGTGTTTGTGGTTGGAGCAAAAAAATAAAAAATAAAATAAAAAAGGTGATTCATTCAAACCTGAGAACAAACATTATTGTACAGTTTTGTTTGAATGGAAACTGAGAAATCAAGTAAATAAAGTGTATCCCTTTAAGAACTGTTTAGCTTTGGCAAAAGAAACAGCGTATGTTGTGAATCATTCTTAAGACTATTTGCCATTAAGATACTTTTAAAGTTATTTTGAAATTATTTCCCCATTCATCATACAAAGGTCATGCACTTATCAGATCTCCCTACCTCCCTATCCCTTTTCTTCTCCTGATATTTTACAGAAACTGAAAGGATCATACTGATGTTATGAAGTTTTCTTATCTGTGATCTTCAGCTGTCCGCACACATTAACTCATACTCACCGTTTCTGCTGATTTCCGTGTTGATGCGTTTATCAGGTTGCGTTTCCCTAATGGCTCCAAAGTGCATCCAAACCTCTAGAGTTGTCAGTTTAGATCTGCATGCTGTTCCATCACTGTAAACAGTTCTGCTCTCAGCACTGCGTGGTTAGATCTGAGCTGGGTTCATCAGCAGACTCAGGGTCAGCTGCTACGGGCATGCATCATGTACTATGCAGGACTTTGGAGCATGATCATGCATGTCCTTTGATTAAAATTTACACTGCTTGTGAATTCAGCTGGAGTGATTTAATTGCACTTTGGTAGGAAAAATCCACCTTCTGATGCCCTCGTGCTGTCTTCATCTATCATGACTATTATGCTCTCTTCTTTAATTTAGTTATTTGATCATTTTACAAGAACCTGGAAATTCACCTCCCTCAACCCGACTCATTGGCTCCAACTAGTTAATGCTGGCCGGAATTTCCCATAATGCTTCTTTAAAGATCTTTAGAACTTGTGGCACCCATTAAAAGGTGGATGTGTGGAGCTACCTGACCATCATATGTCAGTAATAATATGATCATAGCCACAACGCCATCTTAAAGGGGCATTCCACCAATTTTACACAAGGCCTTCAGTTTACTTGTCATGAGAAGTACTACTCAGTGTGTGAAAACAGGTAGCCTACAGAGGCTCTGGAGGGAGCTTTTCAAAGTTAATATAACATTTTCAAAAAAGCTTTTAAAAAAACCCTGATGATGTCATAGTGATGTCATTAGGGTTAGCTCAGCTTATTTTTTAAATGAAAACCCTCATTACAAACTGGAGGTGTAGGATTTGCAAAAAGTTGGCATTCACGAGGCAGTGAGGGTCTAATTAAATATGCCACTGAGTTGCATCATGGGAATTGTCGGATCCAGCATTTTTAGAGCTTGGGCCATACTAGGGACTGGGGAAGAAAAGAGAAGTCAGTATATCTCAGCCTCTGCTGCCTCAATCTTGACCCTTGTTTTTCAATCTCTTCTGTGCGTCCTAACTTTATGAATACTAAATCGCTGAATGACGCCTTAGTTACACATCATTAGCTGCATTGCATTCTGGTTTATTAAGGCAACTGTAAATAAAGAAACATGCTTCTCTGCCTCTGTTACAGTGGAGCTATCACAATATGATTGGTGTAAATCATATCAGTATAACTCCATTGGTGCAATATTGTGCAGAACAAACCAAAACTGTCAATTGTGTTGTTGGGGAGGGTGAATTTTCCTTTAGGATAATTTTAACTCTGATTATTAAAAAGGCTGTGGGTGAAACTAAAGCTCTTATGGCCAGATCTGATTCCAGATGAGGGTGAAATACCAATAACAGCAGGATGATCCTTTGAATCCAAGACAGAAGGCCTTCATACAGCTGTTCTATAAACAGACTAAAGAATGTCACTAAACCATGGCACACTCATTAAATGACATCTAATGCACATGCTAATATTGGCAACAATATTTTGGCTTGATGTGTGGTGAAACCATTGAAATATATGATTGCTTATAGAAAACAATACCTGATGCTTTAAGTCACTTTAAAATCTCTATCTGCAGTGAGGCAATGGAATAGTACATAACGGTAAAAGTTTTTTCAAGTTAAGGTGAAACAAGCATACTCCCTTTTGAAAAATAGCATTTCCCCAAGTGTGCATCATTTGGTATGTAACCAAAGTTAATATATCAATTTCGTACTGTAAATCTGAAATAAGGAAGGACTTGTTGTTTGTGTAAATGGAGCAATCTCTTGTAAAAATAGACATCCATGCTTCATGCTTTGCATCCCATTGTGTCCACGCTTGCTGTTCTGCGCAGTGTTCTTTATCTGTTCCCAAGAATACTTTTTATATTACATACAACCAAAAAGGGAAAAAAGTGCTGAAATAAGATTTGGTAAGGAGCAGCATTGGAAATGTTTGACCTTGTGTATAAAACATGGAAACTCATCTGTCCTGTCTGTGTTAGGGTTTAGATGGATTTCCTTCTCCTCATGAGCTGGTGATTGTCTGTGAAGCTGTGGAGGCCCGGAGACACCGAGCTGATGGGCGAAGGGAAGAAGCTGTTTTTCAAGGTGCTGGGCGAGATCTCCTCGATCTTGTAGGAAACTGAGTGAAAGTACTGATTGGGATTCAGCTGCGAGCTGAATGAGTTCTGATGGGAGAAGGCACAGCCCAGGCCTCCCATCCCTCCCCCAGAGCTGCCGAAGTCATGCGAGTGGTAGTGCATACAGGAGCAGACTGACTGCAAATCAGTCACTTCTGCCCGGTACGGCTCGCGCCGCCGCCGGCCCCGCGGCAGCGATTCGTCTTGGATGTGGATGATCATGCTGTTCCGGTTGCCAGCTAGGGAGGCCCGTTCCTCAGCATCCCGACGCTCATCCTCGCTGTTCATAGTCAGGAAGCGGAGCACCACCAGGTTGAGGAAGGCTCCGATGACCGTTAAGCCCACCAGGATATACATGAAGCTAAAGGCCACATACAGGGGCTTCTTCTGAAGGGCCCGGTTCTTTTGAAGGGCCACAAAGTCCCCAAAGCCTATAGTTGTTAGTGTGATGAAGCAGTAATAATAGGATTGGAAGAAGCTCCAGTCCTCGTAATGGGAGAAGGCAGCGGCCCCGATGCACAGCGTGCCGACGCAGGAGAAGAATCCTACCGTCACCATGTTCTCCATGGACACGTCGGTGATGCTCATGCCACAGCACTTCTTGATACGCTTCAGGAGGTACTTGACAAAAGTGTTCATCCTCTCGCCCAGACTTTGAAACATGACAAGAGTCAAAGGGATTCCCAGGACGGCATAAAACATGCAAAAGGCCTTCCCGGCGTCGGTCCCCGGCGCTGCATGCCCATAGCCTGAGAAGAGAACAGACAGACAGTAGGAATTAGTAATGCGGAAAGACTTTGGTAAAGTGCGGCACTAGCATCACAAGCGCTACCCGCAGCTCAAGAAGCCCCAGATCACCTTTTGTTTATAAACATGACCAAGCAAGAAATCTCCCTAAGAGTCTGCGAGCACTGCCAAAAAGTGTATTGAATAGGTGCATGCCACAGAAATTTGTCCACTCATTAATCTTATTTGGGCTCAAAGATTATGGCAAGTGGGTCGTCCAATTAGTCAGAAGTTTCCGGTGAGGTAGAAGAGTTTGGGGGAGGGATTGGAAAGAAGTCATGGGGGAGCCAGTGAAGCTTTTAGCTTAATTAAACTTTATCTTTAGACCACAAGCTGCTGACTCACACACAAACAGACTTTTGAAAATCAACCTGTTGGGCTAACAATAGGATTCATACACTGTTACATTTAATTTTCAAATGCAACATAAATGCTTTTATTTGCTTTGCAGGATATTTACAGTTACTTCAGAAATCACAGTATGAATGAAACCTACAGTTCTTGAATATGCAGGGCTGAAAAACAGTGTCGTATTGATTATCTCTCCTCTACCACAGCCCATAACTGTAAGTATTAAACACCAAGTCATAGCCAACAACACCCACCATCAGTTGGCATGTGTATCACTTCAACAACTGCCTTCCAAATGAAGACATAATATTTTTGGTGTACTGGACAGCATTTTTTATTAATTTATTTTTGATATGTCCTGAGGAAGTTCTGTGTTTTGCATTCTCAAATATTGATTCTGTTCTCCCATATGGCTTTCTACCCACTCGAGCATGTGTTTAGTTATGCACTTTAAAAAAAACCTCAGCTCTAGTGATCTGATTTGCACTAGAAACTAGAGCACTTACATTTGCATTTACAATGTGTGTTATTGACCTGAGGTTTCATTAGTGGAATTTAAAGAAACATGTACCAGTACTGTAATAGGCATTACATTACTAGACTAATATTGATAGTGACTTTGGTATTTATTTGTTTGATAAATTAAATGAGAAAATTCTTAAAATTCATAAAGGGAGTGTAAGGATTATTTGAATTTATCATTATTTTTTATATTAACAATGGGACTGTATAATAAAGGGGTCGCCTTTCGTGATGAATTCAAAGTGAGTTATCACCCAACTGTTCAGTACACACCATTTTAGCTTCTTTTAGCTCATTGTTTTGGTTTTCCTACCAACAAACTATTCTCTCATCAATCTCCAATTGTTTTCAGCAAACAAGCTCTGATAAAATTTGGGGCCTACCAGCAGGATTTGTGACATCACAAATTACCTTATACAAGTATGATGTAGAAACATGAAGCCACCAGTGCACACTTTACAGTGAAGTAGGAGACATCTTGTGTCCAGCAGGAAAACCCTAAGAAATAAACAACATTTACATATTCATAGATTCTGGAATTTTTGATGAAGTAGAAAGAAGAGATGCCTTTTAAAGGATTATAATGTGGAAATTATTATTAGTTTTTAGAATAAACATATCAGACACATATTATTGTTCCAAATTAATTATTTGTATATATCTAATACCTGAATAAAAATGGCTTATTAGCACAGTCCCCAGCTTGTACTTTACTGGGTTAGAACTCAGAAACCATGCTCTCGTCTTGTTTGACCAAATTTACATGATGCACAGTTTGTGTCATTTTACAAACGCATCTTAGAGTAATGATAGATTTTCTCCATGATTAAATAAAACCAGTGGAAACCAACATTATCCCATTCAGCCTAACTGGTATCTACTGGGAAAGAAAAGATACCGATTATATCTCAGACAAAGCTTTGGTATTAAAGGGGCCCTCTAATTCAGAGCAAAATCGGTTGTTGTGATCTGATGCTAGTTCACTACTGAAAGAATAACTGGAAGTGAAAGAAAATCCAAACCTTATCTCAGACTAAACACTGACTGATTTATAATGTTCCTTGTCCCTTTTGCCCTGTACTTGATTTGACTAAATTTAAAGAAATGATGCAAAATGTTACCACATTTGATATGAGTTGGAGGAAGCCATTTATATACTGCTGTTAATGAGCAACTTTACACAGTCTATTAATCCTGCTTCCCCTGCCAACTAGTGCTGACCCTGCACCCTGTGTGCAGCAGTGACAATATAGACTTTTTGGACAGGGGTGGCACAAGCGGCAGGGCACTGACTTATGTTGGGGTATGTATTTCCCAATTTATACAATTCCAATACTGCTTGGACACTCCGGTATGCAGAATTATTCAAATACACCTGACAATAATAACACATTTATACCACATGCAAAAAATTGCATGGTTTTTGCCAAAAAATGTGTCTGAAAAGGGGAGACTCATGAGTACCCATAGAACCCATTTTCATTCAGATATCTTGAGGTCAGAGGTCAAGGGATCCCTTTAAAAATGGCCATGCCAGTTTTTCCATCACCAAAAGTTTGCATAAATTTGAAGCTTCCCAACATGCTAGCACAGCATGGTTGGCAAGATGCCTTAGGGTTTAGATTTCAGGGTTGGCCAGTGCCACCCCAGGCACCCCGTCCCCCCTCTAGAAAAACTCCCCTGGATGGGTGTACAGACCACAGCTGACCACACCCAGGCCAGCTATATTTTTTGTTCTTCCAAAGTCTAGTGTGGAGGTACGCCTTAACTAAAAAAAATTACACTACACTGATAATTTTTTAATTAGTAATCAGTAATTTATATTGTTTTATTTTTTCCTTCTTTCTGACTTTTTCCATCAGTTTTTATGAATTTCAGAACACTGTGTCAAATAAACTTGATTATAAAATTATAAACTTGATTGTGGGTGCTAACTTATCAGAAAGTTCTACAACAATGCATCAGCAATACTTAATCATCATCTTAATCATTCTTGACCTTGTAACTAGTAGTTTGACAGAATTATCTTGACTCAATGTTTACTTTTTATAAAAAGGAAAATGGTTACAATCTCCCTCCCATGTACAACACAAGTTCCGTACTTGGATCATGTAATGACAACAGAGCAAAATAATAAAGAACATGAGATGTGGTGGAAAGCTTCAGAAAATAGTGATGCTGTTTGGACAAAAACAAACCAGTGTGGTGGATTATCTACAGTATTTCGAGCTTTGTCTCTGAATTTGCAAGTTCATATTGAGCTGAAAAGAGTAGGACCCAGTGGGCTGCCTGGAGGGTACAGAATAAAATCTATAAAACACTGCAGCCTGCTTTGGTAAATGCACAAATGTATAAGTGTTTTTAAATGCATTAAAACATGCAGAGTAAGTGGTTGGTCCTTAAAGTTTGAGGTCTGCACAGGAAGCTGAAGGATCAGCAGCCCACTGTGTCGCTTCTGTGTGCTGACTGCAAATGAGCTGATTGAATTCCTTGAACAATGAGTAGCACGTTATTTCCACACACACTCACAAAGGGAGAGCTGCTTCTATCAAACAACATAAACAACCTCATTAAAAAATATCTAAAAAAACACAAATCTTCATTGCTCTCGTATACAATGCAGAGAGGATATCAATGGTAATACACTTTGTGGAAGATAACTGAAATATGATGTAAATCTGTAGCTTTATTGTGATAGCAGATATGAGCATTTCATAGAAAAGGCCTCTTCTGTGTTAGCAGAGAATCTAATAAAAATTATAGAGAAGCTTTGCATCAAAGTAAACATCAAGATACAGCAAAACATGCTTGTGGCATCCCAAAAGTATTAGTCAGTTATAATTACATCTCAGGACAGATTGGTATTCTACCCAGACATCCGTCTTCTACCATGCTTCTCTCAAAATTAGCAAATTAATTGATATTGATTCCGATTGTTTGAATTTGTTCTTGTGGAGTAATTAGGACATAATGAGTTACAGGGGCAGCTGTGAAGAAATGACAACTTTAATTTGATTTGTGCAGACTACAACTCTCCTATGTAGATACTAATTCAACATTATGTCTTACAGTCAAAGACATTATGTAAACTGAAAAATATATTCTGGCTTCGGACGATTCATTTGAGGTTTGTGTGCAACTATCCCTCTCATCGGCCTCTCCCTGCTGCAATCAGACTGGAGTGTATTAGGTATCGATTCACTGCGGGGTCACTGCCACTTGTATGTATTTCCTATTAGATTTGCCATCCTCTTTTTCAGTTTTAAACTGGACAGACGAGAGCTTAAGTGTCTGCGTGTTGATGGTTGACAGCATTGCGATGTCTGGATCTGTAACGCAGGAAGTCATGAAAGCAGTGCATTAAAAGGATGAAAGGCAATGAAATCACACTCACAGTGATGTCATATCAGTTGGGGCTTTCATGTTTCCACTTTAGCTTCTACATTCATTAACATACATACATTTCCAAGGCAGCAAAGACAAGATGATTAACAGGGGCTTGCAGGGACTCAGTGAAACGGCCTGCAGACCTAAAGAGCATTAGCTTGTAATCAACTATGACATTTTCATATCACAAAACGTCCACTTGTCTACCGTCTATCACAGATTGAGACAAGACAATAAGAGGTTAAGTTCATGACAGCTTTTCAGTTTGCTGGGAACTTTTTTGAAGAAAATCTTCCACTGCTGAACTTCTGATGCCTTTCACAGCTCTGCTATATATCCAGCTGTAGAATATGAAAATGATTTCTAAACCTTAAATAAGTATAGGAGGAGAAATATTACAAAACATTATAACTTAAATTCTTTATTTTGTCTGAACCAGTCTCTTAAAGTATTTCTTTGATGTTGTTGATGGGATGTGTGGTTTTCTGCCTCGGCGCTGCACTGTGTAATCTGTTTGTCCTGTCATAATGACTCTATTATCTGCTGTTGTCTTGGGAACAGACATATTTGCTCTGTCACACAGCCCTGCCATGCACAGGTGCTTTTGTGCTTATGTGTGCACAGGTGAACGCGTGTGCTCAGCGCAGTGTGTACTGCAGCGGAAAGAGTCACACTATCTAATAAATGATAAAAGCACAAGAAA